TCAAGGGACCAGAAAAAAATTTCGCAAACAAGTTTTGTTGTAGAAAACCTCTATAAAAACATGGAGAACCGTACATAATAAAAATATCGTACTACAGTACTGTAGAAAGAAATCGCTGTCTAGACCCGATCTTTGTGGAGAGAGTCCATTTCTATTCAAAATATTAAAGAAGTTGTATGTGCAATGGGAATTTCAATGATTTTTTCATAACTGAAGTGATAAACCGCGCGTAAACGTTGAATTCTTCAAAAGATTCTTCCAAAATCTGAAGCATATCGAGGTTGAATATTGAGTGCACTCGAGTATACTTGAGCGTACTCGAGTTACGGACACGATCGTAAATTTTGTTTCAGCCCTCATGATACAATTGCTCTGATGATAAATTCATTCATTAGGTAGTAACTGAACAGCAATGATTTTTGTACAATCCACAACATTTGAAAACCTTTGTCGTTGCATACTTTAAACTATTCTAATTGAAATCATATTTGTTCAAGTAGATGATTTAAATAAATTATTTTTCTCTGCATTAGTAGATAATTTCCCCAGGTATCTTTATAAAGATTTCGGATCAGTTGAAGAGAAATCGTGGCGATATAAAACAAGATGGTTCATCCGATTTTGTGGTGGTGTTTAAAGCGCTTTTTCCTGCATATTTTTTTCTAGAAGCATCAAAAAGGATGAATGATTCAGCCTAGTGTTGTAACTTTTTTCTTTACAATCGAGAACTTTTTTTTTCTAGATCAGTCGGGGACTAGTGAAACGACATCATCATCAACTGCTGGAAACTCGTCGTCCTCCATGACGATGGGAACGTCGAAAACGTCGAACACTTTCAATGAACAAGTAATATCAACTACTGAAGTACCGACATCAAAAGCATCATCGGGATCCAACGATTCCGACAGATTCTGGACAACGTCGCCAAACCTGTGCGTCGTGGACAGCATCAATAATGACACCAATAACTCAATTAATGACACTCGGGTCCTGGTTCTCATTCTCGTCAATTCAGCACCGAAAAACCGAGCGAAACGAAAGGCCATCCGAGAAACCTGGGCCAAATCAGTTTCCCAAGCGTCCACAAAAGCAACTGATGTGATTCTTCGCCTGGGTTTCGTCATCGGATCCACGCCAAATGGCGTGATTAAAGACTTGATAGCTCGCGAAAACGAGGAATTCGGCGACATTGTGCTTCTTGCAACTCTGGACGATTATTTCCAACTTACTCAAAAAATGCTGGCATTACTGCACTGGGTCTCTGAGGCCTGTAATATTTCTCGTTTTGTGATGAAAGCTGATGACGACGTTTTCATCAATGTGCCGCTTTTGAAACGCTTTCTCAGTGAAGAAATGAGCAAGTAAGTAAATCGGTTTCTATTTCCAACAACAAAATGATCCGACTGTTTTTGTGGGTCGAACGGTTTTTTCTATACCCTATATAAGTATATATGGTCAAACATTTATGCTTCGCAAATTAGACAAATTTTCTTCGAGCTTTGCAGTACAGTAATTTCCACTCAGTTTGAAATTATATATTCCAACCTAAATGCAGGGCGTGCCAGAGAAAATAGTCCGAAGAGTTCATTATAAGCAGACTTAAGAATCGATTAAAACCTACTCAAAAATTGAATTCTATCGAATTTACGATTAGACCGAGGATACATTTTTCCGATTCAACAGCTGAAGAAAATCGGTTGAATTCGAAGAGTAACTTTCATCCCATCATGTGCTGTTCCTTCAAATAAATTCATGTCTAAAATATATGGGCCACCTTTAATGCGTTTCAATAAATTCAAAAGTGTACAGCAGTGCTGTTATATTTGAAGATGTTTGCTAGATTAAAACCTCAACCAATACGAACTCACTCTTTTAAATTTAAATAAGAAAGTTTTATTTTCGCAGGCCTATTTAGAGGGAAGCAAACAGAAGAGCAAAACGCAAATTATCTAGACTATTTGATGCTCAGATTTCGATGGACCATGTTGGTAACCATATTCTGTATATTAAGTACAGTAAGTAGAAATTGAAAGTGAAATGACATGCACTTATCATTCCTCTGAACCTAAATTATGCTACGCAGCATCTCTACTCATTGCGGCTTTTACATATATTTTTCTCTTTTATGCCTTGCAAAATACATTAAAATTAATTTTAAATACAGAATGAAATTTCGATGAATAAATTCAAAAATCTATCTTTCCTGGCCTTCAAAATTTTTCAATTTTTATTAATTGATCAAAAATTATGTGAGGTATATAGTGTGCACAAATAAAGTGTTGCCCCATATAGCAGAATTACCAATTAATGTCCTTACTAATACTGTGATGTAGTTTCATTAAGCGGAAGTAGCTCATTATGAGCGAAATTTGATCAACTTCCGTTTAATATGCAGTATATTCCAAATTTAATGCATACAATCAAACATCTTTGAGTCGAAATTCAAGGAATCTGCAAAACGTTTTGAGTCAAGGAAACCATCATTTTTTTCGAAAGAAGGAAATAATCACAGGAAATTTTAATCAGTGATATTCTAGGTCTTCAGTTGCTTCTTAAACGAGTTGACAGGATGCTGCTGATAAAGAAACATGGGTTCATTTACCCAATTCATCTTTCACTTCCTTTTAAAATGCGTCAAGTTACATTTTTATTGCTTTCTCTTCAATGTGTAATGCAGATGGTACCTCGCAATTTGACCTCCCACAATTTGACCATCCTGCAATTCAACAATCAAATTTTCAGGGATATTGACTTGCAATTTGACCCTTGCCCCACAATTTGACCTGCTTTCGCCAGTTTCTGCATTTTTTAAAACTTATATTCTTGATTTTCATGGAGTGTCTCACAATTCAACCCATTCACAATTTGACCCTTCACAGTTTGGCAACCAATTAGGGTTGAACTGTGAGGTACCACCTGTAATAGCCAAAAGACCTCCAGAAAATCCCAGTTATGGAGGTTTGAGAAAGAAAGCCTTTGAGTTATAGGGCAGCATGTTTTGAAAGGAATTCAGACAGGGACTTGGAAATAATTTAACAAGGGAAGGTATTTGACTTGGGGAGGTTCCTGTCATCAAGGTTCAACTGTACACATCCAAAGTTTCGCTTGCAAAGTAACTGTAATTTTATTGATTTAATTTTGTGGAATGTTTTCATTGAATCAAGCGAAAACGCCACGAATGTGATCTATGGTCGGTTGGCGAGCAAATGGAAACCCAATCGCGACCACAGGTCCAAGTACTTCATCTCAGAGGCCAGCTGGCCCGGGACATATTTGCCGGATTTTCTCACAGGGCCAGCTTACATAATGACGTCCGATTGCGTCGACAAGATTCTCAATGCCTCGTCTTCGTTGACGCTGACACGCAGCATTCATCTCGAAGATGTTGTCCTCACTGGGATAGCGGCGGAAAGTGCGGGCATTCGTAGACAAGGAGTCCGGCTTTTCCTCAATGCGAAATTGAGTGTTCGGAAAGTGTGCGAAATGAAGAAGTTCATTAGCGTGCACAATTTGTCTCCCACGGAAATGCGCCAGACGTGGGCGCGGTTCGGAGATAAGCGAATGAAACGGTGCTGATTTTGAAGAATACGTACTGTGTTGTTTTCTCGAAGTGCAGAAATAAAACATTTCCACGAATTTTGCGTGTCGATTCCAAAAATAAAATGATGTAAGCGAATTTTGCGTGTGGTAATTTTGAAGAATATATGGACTGTGTTGTTTTCTCGAAGTGCAAAAATAAAACATTTCCACGAATATTGCTTGTCGATTCCAAAAATAAAATGATGTAAGCAAATTTTGCGTGTGCTAATTTTGAAGTATATATGGACTGTGTCGTTTTCTCGAAGTGCAAAAATAAAACATTTCCACGAGTTTTGCGTGTCGATTCAAAAAAAATATGTAGGCGAATGTACTGTATCTTAAGAAAAAGCAACTCATTGTCGGCATTTTTTTTGGCATTCACTCTTCGCTTTCGAAAAAGATAAATTTTCAAAACATCAGACTGCGTTATAGTGAAAAACTATTATGGAGGGAAAGCACGGGAATGGGAAAAAATAATTGGTTATTATGTTCGTGAAGCGTCTTTCACTTTACTTTCAAGCCCACTCATTGGTGTCCAAAAGATTCAAAAGCTGCTGGAGGCAAACGAGTCCAATATTGCATTTCTTGATCGATTTCTAGTTGAATTATGAAACTCAAAAATTAACCTCTGATGATTTGCGCTGAATATTCAGGGGAATGAAAACCAAAAGAGACGAAATCAAGAAAATGTGCAGGTAGCAAATTGGCGTATGAGACGAAAAAATTTAAACTTCCTGCCAATAATATAAGACGTTATAGTTGGCAATATTTAAGCTGACGAGCGGATAAATGTCGTTTGACGTTTCAGAAAATACTTTACGACTATATGGACATATTTTGATTTTTTAATTAAACAATGCCACGATGAATTCATTAAGAAATCAGGACGCACACGCGCTGATGAGTGTCATGAAGCTCTTATTTTGTTGTCAAGTCTCATGAAAAGTTCCTTGCACTTTGGCAATTGAGACGGGAAATTGAACATACATGTCCATTTCAGTATACTGTACAGTACTGAAAACATTGTTGGAGGGAAACTTTCGTGTGCGGTGAATAGATGTCACCTGTGGTTGAAGAAGAGAAAGTTTCCGCGGTAGGCCCATGTACGAACAATTCCAAAGCGACGAAACATTTCGATTACTTTTCCAAACGTGTTTTTTCATTCTAACAGCAAATTGAAGAATCGACCAATTTCACGATGTCTCAAACGAGGAGAACAAAAAAGTCCCCGCGTAACATTTTTTCAAGAAAAGAGTCATGCAGTCGGAATGTGTAATAAAATTCGGAACACTATACTTCCTTCCTGTATTTATCCGTGAATTTCGTGTCGCCGGAGAATTCGATTGTTGATCAATAATGAATATACTGTAGTTAACATTTAAACAAGTGTCTTTGCGATATGACATCAACGTTTTTCAATCGGTTTTTCCCATGCTTTTTCAGTAGGGTCTCGGCCCAACCCTGTGAATATTACCTCTCTTCAATCTACGAACCAGTTTTTCGCTCTGAATAACGACTTGCTCGTCTTCTACAGGTTTTCTGTTGCTGGAATGAATTCCAGCAAAGATCCACTTCGTATAACGCTGCAGAATATTTTGCTCTGCATAAAAAAATGAAAAGAAGTAACACAAAAAGGGGATTTTAAAATAAATTAAAAATCATCTAAATTTGAATTACCGATGTGAGGGTCGACGATAACGAATGCTCTTCTGACGGCGTCAAGGGAAACTGTTTCGCATTTTCCCAAAGCCACCAGCACGTCCTTAATGTACTTTTCTTGTTCTTCTTTTTCTTGCTGTTCGAGGAGTTTCAGGAACCCGCTCTTTTCTCCATATTCTTTCTAAAAAAAAACCCCCCCCCACAAAAACTGACCGTAATTCAACTCCACGTTGAACAGCGATTTTTCGAATTTGAAAGTTTTCCAGTACAGTATTACCTGATCAAATAACTTTGTATATTGCATGTAGTTGGCCGTTTGTGGCAGCCGTAAATTGAAAACAGCTTCTCCGACGAGTTGATCAATTGCTGATGATGATTTCAACGGAAACATTTTTGTGAGAATGTCTCGGAAACTCGGGATTTGAATCATGTCCGAAGCCAATCGCTCCGACTGAAAGTCAATAGCAGCGGATTTTTATATACAGTATAAATAAAAACAATGCGAAATTTATTTCCAATAAGTTCATGACGAAGAAATTCTAGCGAAGAGAAAATGCCGGTGCGTTGAGAAGACGATGCTGAAAAAATGCCGCGGGAGAGAAAATGTCGAGGGAATGAAAGACCAGTGATAAGCCAAGTTTTCATTATTATTAAATTAGTTGTAAGAACACAATATTTTCTTCTACTTCTTGACGGTTTTTAAATCTTAATGGTTCGTGTTCATTGTGTACAACGTTTGTCTTGAGGCGAATTGATCATTATTTGAGGAGTTCTGAGTTGACAAGGAATAATTCGTCTAATTTCGATCAGTTGCACGTTATATTGAATGCATATATAGGGTTTCTTGATGATGTTTTTATTTTTGCTCATTCTCTGCTTCCTTTTTAAATTTCTCTGCATCTGTGTTTTTTAGTCATTCGATTGATACATGTGAGCAATATGAAATTCAGTACTAATTAACCGGATGAATACCGTAATCGTGATATACAGTATGCGAGTTTTCTAAATTTTATTTTCGGTATCAGTGTGTCTTCTACTACCAATTTTCCAAAGCTCCCTTAAGATTTTTCCATCGCCTGAATTTTTCTCAACTCCGCCGTTTTCAAATCGATTCCATTGAAACGAAATCATGAAATTTCAAGGGGACTCACGTCGTGATCAACGCAGTGTTGTTCACAAGCCTTCAGAATTTTTTCGGCAGTTTCTGTTCGATCGTGATAAATGCCTTCGTCGAATTCTCCGCAAAGAATTCCCCAGAAAAGACCGATATCTTCGACATGACTGAACCTTTTGCAAGCTTCGGCGAAGCTGTATGCCCACTCAATTCGCGGAACAGGCAGTGGAAATCTTTCAATTAAAAAGTTGGGATGCTGGTAATCGATTTTATGTAAAATAGAAAAAACCACGAAAGCGAAGCAGCACCTTTGTTCCAAATATTGAGCTACGAAGTTGGACATTCCTTGTCGATGCCCCATTTCTTCGTCGTTGACGCGCTTATGCGCCCACACATCCTGGATCATGAATGTTACGTCTCGCACACCTAGATGTCGGTTCCTCACTTTTCCGTCCCATTGCAGATATTTAGGCACGTGAGCGTGAGTTCCCTTGGAAAGAAAACTGTCGTGCTGAAATCTGTCGTTATTGTCGCTGTGTATTCGGCCAAAATAACCATGAGAATAAAAGGCCCTGAGAATATTTATGTGTTTCGTTAAAGACAGGAAATTATTTTTCTTCTCTGAAATGATTGAAGAATTTATATATGTATACTGTACAGGGAGGATATGATGAGTATGTTAGAATGATGCTCAGTTCTTACTTTTCCCTGGAAGAATTCAGGTCTTTTGGCAACTCCGTGATCTCCAGAAAATTCTGCTAGAATGAGGTTCAGCATGTCTCGACTAGATTTTCCTTTTGACAATTTCCTCCACCGCGATAGTCCACCATCCACGAACTCCGAACATCTGAAAGGAAAATATTTGCATTCGCAAATGGCAGCAATATATGCGGTAGTAGATGAAGAAGAGGCTCAATACGCACGTCTTCCAGTTTTCAAAAAAAAAGGTCCAGGATGAGAGAAATCATTCTTCTATATTTAATGTAAAGCATGAAACTTTTTAATTTTTCATGCTTCCCAAACGAGTGATTTCCTACTTTAAAACAATAAATAAGCCCCAGCAATACCGTTGAAATTTCCTGAAATTTGTGAAAGTCCACAAGTACAAGCCTTTTATCCTTTTTATGCTGAAGTTTTGCTGGTCAAGTCTTGAAAACACAAAAATATATAGTTATTTGGGAATCAACAGTCTTTGTGTGCAGACCTTGCAAGAGTTGGCACTCAGCATACTTTGTGATTGGAAAATTCTGATAAGTTGTGTTTGATTGCAAATTTGTACTAAAAATATTTAGTGAAACAATCCTTGTCAAAACCCTATGAAATAGAACAACATTATAATATGGCTTTGCCTTGGCCACTGGCCAGCTGATTCAGCTTTTCCTTTCATCCAAAACTTTCCAACAACAATACCCATCCTGGTCACTATCCTTTCTGGCAACATATCTACTCACAACAAAAAAGGATTATCACTCTTGACTGTACAGGTGGTACTTTGCAATTTGACCTCCTGCAAATCAACCTTCCTACAATTTTGACAGTTGAATTTTCAGGGAGGTTCACTTAATTGCAATTTGACCCTTACCCTGCAATTTGACCTACTTTGGCCATTTTTTCACAATTTCCTACTGATATTTTCCAATTTCACAAAGTATCTCACAATTCAACAGCTTTGCAATTTGACCCTGGTTCTGCAACAGATTAGGGTCAAATTGTGAGGTGCCACCTGTATATTGGAGTATGAAATATTGCGGTACATCCTGGATGAGCGCAGTGAACTTTTCTGAAACTTGGCACAGCATTATGCATAATTAATAAGCAATTACCGAAGTTCATCGGCAGTGGATAAAATCCCTGAGCAAGTTATTTTACTCACTTGGCCCAGTAAGGACGCGGAGTTCCGCACCGTTTCAATTCCCCACACTCGCATTCCAGGTCCGCGTTTCTCGCTCGCAGCATTTCGACTTCATCTAATTCAATCAACCGAGAAAACCCAAGACCCCCGTGGTAAAAAAAAAGTGTGCGAATAGTAAATTAAGCCGAACGAAAAAGGTAAGAGATGATGAATGAATTCTGTAGTTGTGTAGTTACTAATCAAGTCTTCTCTTCCTTTGTCTGCTGTCGCTACTTGCTGCTCCAATTTCGCGTGTTCCCTCTGCAAGCTTCTAAATTGAATCTCCATCTTTTCGTGCATGTTCCTGGGAACCACGTCGCTGAATTCCACTTGCATCCTCATCATTCGTCCTGACAACTCTTTCAGGTCCTCTCTGCGCTGATTAGAATGGGCATTAACTCATTTGCTCACATGAAAAAAGAGAAGATACTGTACAGTATTTACTCGAGTACCACACGTCATCAATGTGAGACCGCCGCAGCGTTGATTTTTAGCAATTAATTGAAAAAAAAATCATCCCCGCGTAAGACGCTCAAATTTTTCAGTAAAGTTACTGTGTACGTGGAATTATCTTGTATATTACGCACCGGATTGCTAAATAAATTGCCAAAATATGCACAAAAAAGTTTCGTGCGTTCAGAGAACTAAAATTAATTTAATTTTTCGAAATTTTTTGGGCACTTGAAATTCATCCAATTGAATAACCTAACCGAACCGAAATTATTGTTTGAAAAGCTGTGCTGGAGGGTAAAAGTCAAATTTAAACCCACTTGAAAATCAATTTCACTGGGATTTTTTTATTCATACGAATAATAATACAGGATTGTACTGTATTATGAAAATGGAGAAGTCTGAAAAAAAAAATAAACTGGGAAAAAGTTTGTCATCATCGAAAATTTACACTGTAAAGTTTGTTCCCGACAACGATGCGCACCTCATTTTCTGCTCAAAAATTTTTTTGGAAAAAAGTGCGCCTTGGTACTTGGGTAAATATGGTAAATCTGCGAAAAATTCGGATGTGTTTTTTGCACGTGGATCTAACCTGGACTGCTGCAATGCGATTTCCAGCAGGTCCATGTCAAATCGCCTTCTGTTTTCTCTTTCTAAAAAGTCGATTCTTGCTTGCATTCGGGCTCTTTGATAGTTGCCTTCTTCGAGATCACTTTCAAGGGAAAGTTTCATCTTCCTCTCCACTTTCAGAGTGTTCTGTGACTGATGAGCAAGTGAGAAAGAGGGTTTAATGGTAAAAAACAAAACAAAAAATCAGGGTTCCTGATTGAATCAATTTTTTAGAAATTTATATACCTCTGTTAATTCAATCTCGAGTTCTTTGATTCTGCGAGTTGCATCGACGGCTTTTGTCGTGACGTATTCGAGAGCGACTTTCAGTTCGTTCTCGTTGTTCTTGATTTCCTCCATTTCTGTTTTGAGGTTCGTCATGGAACTCAGACTGCTGATTGGTGATCTCCATGTCTGAAATCATTATTGGGGAAAATCCCAAACCAATACAATGAGAAAAATAGTCATCGTCGAGGAAAAAAAGATGCACGTTTAATAATAATTTTCAAATATGCGCGGCATCCTCTACAATTAATTGAAATGCTATACTTTATAAACACGTGATGTTAAACATGCAGTAATACGCACAGACGCAAATAGTTGTTTGAAATGTGCTAGTTGGCATTTCGGCTCATTTTCCATCGTTTGGGCACACATTTTTCATTTCAGTTCAATGCATGTTACCGTAACGTTTTCAAGAGTTTTACTGTTATTTGCACTAAATTAGCAGGAAATCGGGAGCATCAAACTATTTTTGAGTGCTGAATAAGTCATGACATTTATTTCGCAGATATTATTGATGAGTGTATCATCTGTGATCAATGGAACAAAATTAAAATGATTAATGAAACTTCGTGCTCTGAATAGCATACTTTTTCGTGCTCTCCACATGTATCGTGAACACGGTGAACCAATCTTGATCACGCCTTACAAATGCAGATTTCGGAAATTTCACTAACCCGAAGTCGATGGCTATCTTCCTTCGAAGCGGCTAAAATTCCTGCAGCTTCTTCGAGAAACCCATTGATCGTCGATTCCAGCGGAGGAATTTCCGCTGCGAGAGATTTCAGGACTTGCCAATGTGGAGATTTCTCCAAGGTTACGTTTTTACCGTGTTCGCGTCTCGAAATAAGAAATGTATTCGAGGTAAGAGGCCTTTTTACTTCCGGGACGCTCTTCTGGATTTCCTGCACCCGATGTTGCAACCAATTCAGGGAAATTGCTTTGGAGTCTTCCGCCGGAAAAGTGCCTCTTTTGATTTTTATTGCCCCATTTCGATCCGGCTGGAAGAAACGGATGATAATGATTTTCAGAGTTATTTCGAAATAATCGGAAATAATGTATCTTTAAGCGTCAAAGCGGATTGTGACCTCAAGAAAAATGCAAGACAATTTTGAGGCCGCGTTTTCTTTTCACACATGAATATAAAGTCGAAAATTCCGATAGTCCATCATTGATGACGCCCAATGTTATACACGTAGCTTCTCATTTCGAAAAAAAAAATATCTTCTCGTTTTCATAAATTTATCATTTAAGAATATAACGGTCAAAATTTTCAAATTATCTTACCCATCAGGTGCCTAACCTTCTATTTCTTCAAGCATTATTGCCTTGGCATGGTAGCAAATACATTTCCTCACTTTCTTGAACTGCTGTAATGCACTTGAATTATTTTGCTTATCAAAAATTCCAGGGCTGTGGAAGTTTTTCTCGAAATCCGTCGTGTGTTTAATTTAAAAAAAATTTCCAAGGATTTCGATTTTTTGCTTTTTTTCTTCGATTTCATTTGCATCAGACGGAAATAACTTGCCAGAAAAAGGTTCCCTTCTTGTCAATGCACGTCATATGCAAAACCTGTGGCAGAGATTCCTATAGGGCTTACAACTTAGATTATCTGATTATTATCTAATTATCTGATTTACCTACTAAAAATAATGAATCACCACTTACCGGAAGTTTCAACTCCTTCAAGGGATTCGTGCATCTTTGCGAGAACAGGTCGTGAAGGTAGGCAGCGTTGGCCATTGCGTTTTTATGAAAACATTTCGCATTTACTTGTGAATTTTATGCATGATTTTCACTGTGAGAAATTCGAAAGAGGCTCATGAATTGGAATAATTTTAAGCACCCCAAAATTTCGGAAGAATACATTATTTTTAGTCCGCTGAACGCAGTAGATATTTTGTTCGCACATACTTCATCAAGAAATTGAGCATCATTGGAGCCATAGGTGGATAATTTATGCATGATAATCTCACTCAAAATACAGTCAAACCTTGTTAAACTGCCAAAGTTGTGCCACCAAATTTTGGCGGTTCAATGAGGGTGGATGTTTAACAGGGGAAGCAAAAAAAAATTCTTTCTATTTTAATGGGGGTAGGTTGAAAAAAGGGTGGCAGATGGAAAATGAAAGCAGCATATAAAAGTGCAGCAACCTACTTTATTCAAGTTTTAAAGGAATCTAATTGAAATTTTCAGGGATTATAGCCTTGTTCTTCCCTGCCATTTCACACACTTGAGCACTTCCACTTCCCAAAATCAAACTCAGTTGACTGGGATTATAACTGCTTTTTAGGTTTGCATTTTTTTAATAGTCCTACCTTCTGTGTCCTTGGCTGTGGAGACAAAACAGTTGCTGAAGATTTCACACAAAAATATTCTGGGTTTTATTGACATGAACCTGTGAAGGGTGTCCTGTATTTGAGCTAGGATGAATTATTTTGGCTAGTTATAAAAAAAGAAGGAAGCAGGCTATGCATCAGAAGATGATAACCTTCATGAGAGGAAATGAGTTCATGTGTTCAAACAGAAATTATTTTGGCTCTTCATCTAATAGAAAAAAAGAAGGCCATGTATCAGAAGATGATAACCTTCATGAGAGAAAACCAGAAAACCAGGTTCAAAAGACAACAATCTGGCTGAGAGACTGGAAACTGGTTGGCAGTTTAAAGGGCAGGGCTGGATTAAACCGCATTCTGGCCTGATGCTGGGCAAAACCTAATATTTCTGTGCAAAAAATTAATATTTCCTTGTAAGAAGGAAATGTGAACTTTTCATCAAACAATAATAAATATAATTTGTATAGAGAACAAAGGATACCTGAGGCTAGAATTTAACCAAACATAGATAAGGTCAAATCCCATCACAACAAAACTCATAACAATACATTTTTCTTATCAATTTTTCATGGTCCTGCTGGCAGTTTCTCCATATAGGCACCATGTTACAGATATCTCATTTTTATGAACTCATTTTAGACTGTAATTCTATTACAATAAAACTCTGGGCTTGATTTTGTGCATAGGCTATATAGCAATTATTTCATAAATGATGGAAGGAATGAAAAAATTTAAAGGTCCAATTTCTTGAAGGACTAAAGATTTTTTTTGAGAAGGCTAGGTGTTAATAAAATGCACAACATGGCATGCATCTTGGAAATTCTTTGACTAAATTTTAAATTGAATGCCTTTCTTTCAAGTAAACAGTATACAGTTCTAGAAGATATGTTCCTCCATTTGAATGAACAGACAGGTATGAGCAAATAAGTTGACTCAGGAGGAAGTACAGAATTGATACTAGTACAAAGGCAGGTTTAATTAAATGCAATAACTTATTTTTTCAGAACTTTTCTCTGCATTTTGTCAAAATGCTTACAAATCTTAACAGGTCTTGATTTAGCTGTTTCAGATGTACAGTACTCTTAAACTATGGGGCCTTTTTCAATGAAATTGAGTCTGAAATATGTCAAAACCAATAATCAAAATCTCCAAAATTATACTCCATATGTATATGCTTCAACATGAAACTCAGCTAGTGCAATTGAGATTCAATTTAGTAAAGGTAACAATGTTGTATTTGTTTTAAAGAGAATACACTTCAGAGTAGTTGTTGTGGCTTTGTTAAGATAGGGTTACAGCTAATGTGTATTTCAGCAACCTGTTATGGCCTCCTCCCTGACTCTCCCCTGGGTTTTTTGAAAAGTGATGGAGGGTATTTTTGGAGTTCCCAAGCTGGAAGGACATACTGCCAGATGCCATCTGTGCAAAGGTAGCGCTGACACAGATACTGCTCAAGGACCACAAAGGGTCCAAAACAGAGTGGCTGGAAGCATATGCTGCAGGCGTGTATAGATTGGGATTCCCATTGGGGTACATGTAGAACCTCTTCACCTGGCTCAAAGGTGATGGGCTTGCATTGGGCTGAAGCGTGTTGCCAGGTGGAGGGGATGTGCTGGGTATGGTTCTGGACAATGTTGGTTGTTGGGGGAGGGAGTCCTGATGTGCCATGGACATGGTCAAAAGGGAGTTGGATGGGCTTGTTGAAAAACACAGCATAAGGTTCAGCACCAGTGGTGGTATGCAGGCAGCAGTTGTAGGCGCAGACTACCTGTGGGAGGTACTGGGGCCAGGTCTGGTCAGTAGCTCCAGCTTTGGGCAGCATTTTACTAATGGTTTGGACAAGGCGTTCCAGTGCGAGTGGCATTGGCCAGGTGTATCATGCTGCACATTGTACTGTTGGAGCAGGTTGCGTAAGGTGATTTGATGCATTTTTGGCCAGGAAAATCTTGTTTTGAGTGTCTTGAGGACATTGCACCATCCTGCATGTCCAAGCTGCTCAAGGCACTGCTGGATGAGTTGGGTTTGCTGGTTGGTCTCCCTGATCTCCTTAATATCCTCCAGAAGGCAGAGGTATTTGTCAGTTATTGTGCTGTTAAAGGAAGGATGCACTGGTGGGTGTGGTTGTGCATGGCTCAGGACATCAGCAGCAGAGTTGAGGGTCCCCTTGATGTGGCGCAGGGTGTACTGGTAACCTTCCAGCCTTAGCTTGAAATAGACAATGTGGCAGGATGGTTCTTTCAAGCGCAGTTCATGTAAGAGTGCCTGGTGGTCCATTGCCACAGCAAATTTGCATCCTTCAAGATAGGATTGGAATTTTCTGTCACTGCCCATTTGAATGCAAGTAGTTCCCACTCAGTATTGGTGTAGTTTTGTTCTGCAGTTTTGAGTGTTTTGCTGGCATATTCCAATAAGTGCAAGTGGTCATGGTCTGGGCCTTGGAGCAGGACTGCCCCCATGGTTATCTGGGAGGCATCACACCGTACCTCAGTATAGAGGTTTGCATCAAACCTGCAGAGTGTGCGTCTGTTGCCAAGGCTTCCTTCAACTCATCAAAAGCAGCTTGTGCATCATTGTTCCAGGCCAATGGTTTGGGTATACCACAAATAGTGGATTGTAGGCGCCATTCCATTCCTGCAAACTGTGGAATATACTGGCACAAATAGGAGGCAAGCTCAATGAATCTTAATAATGCCTTGGATGAGTGTTGGACAGGGTATTCATGGATGGCCTGGATTGTTTTGGGGGCTGGTCCACATGAATCCTTGTCTACAATAAACCCTAAAAATTTGACCTTGTGGGCTAGGAAATGACTCTTGTCCAAACTGCTTGATGCTCCTGCTGTGGCCAGCCGGTGGAGTACTTCATTGAGATTTGTGTAGAAAGTTGGGAAGTCTGGTCCAAAGATGATGATATCAAGGTATACTAAGCAGGATTTCCAGATCAAATTGCCAAGAATCATGTGTAGTGCACATTGAAAGACGCTGGGGGATCTCTTCATGCCAAAGGACATCCCTCTGAATTGGTATTGGCCCATGGGTGTGCTAAAAGCTGTTTTTCTTTTCCCAGCATTGGCTGACAGTGGAATATGGTGATAGCCCATGTGCAGATCAATGGTGGAAAGAAACTCATTTGTTAACCCTAATGCATCCAAAAGCTGTTGGACATCAAATACTGGGAACATGACATCTTCTGTCATGGTATTGATTTAGCAGTAGTCACAGCACAGTCAATATTGTTTTGAAGCGGAATTGGTAATTTTTGCGCCATGTTTGGAACTAAAAAAGCTGGGATTGAATATGGGGAATTGGCCACTTCAAAATACAATGGCGAGATACTCATTGAGGATGTCCTGGAAAGGGCCATGGGAGGCCATGTGGAACACAATATGGTTTGACTTGTACAGGTGCATTGGTTGTTAATGGGATGTCCACAATGTAATCCTTGAGCATACCAAACCTGCCAGACCACTCAAATATGTTGTCCTTGTAATGTAGAAGGAGGTCCTTGATCTTGGCCTGTTGCTTTGCTGTTCCATGGGAAAAATGGATACCTTTGCCAACTGCTTGTGATGGAGGTTCAGCCACCACCTGCACAGGGGGCATCCCTCAAACAGGGTTTGACCAGCATATTTGACAACAAAAGGTAATTTGGCAAGAGCTGGGAGACCCAGGACAATCATGTCATTGGGTGTTAGTAGAATGGCAAAGTCAATGGTTACTGTGTCTACGAATTCAGTGATCAAGTCAATAGTTATGACCTGGTTGGTAGTGAAGGTTGTGCTTGCAGCCATCTGCCCAGATACCATTTTCTTGGATATTGTAGCCCCATGTTGGGCCCAGCTGGTGGCAAGGCTGGGTGGAATGGCCAAAATAGTTGCTTGCATATCAGCATGTGCATTGTAAATTTGGTTATCTGGGGCCAGGATGGGGATGGGGATGAGGTTGAGTGCCGGGTCAGTCCCCATTATCTCAACCCAGTGTTTGCGTTTCCATTCTTTGTCAAGGGGCAGTTGCGTGCAGCATGGCCATATTGGTAGCAAGAGTAACATTGGTCACTTTGGGTGTAATCTTTGCTCTTCTGTTGCTGGTGGCATTGAGTGTTGGTGTGTCCTTTGTATCCATGTATCTGGCAGTGAGCCTGGTTGCATTTGCCATCAGTGGTCCTTGGTGGTTGTTTGGCTGTGGAGTGGAGGACCTGGTCTGCAAGCTGCAGGATGTCATCCCATTGCATATCTGGTTGGCAAAGAAGCTCAGACCTGAGTATGGCAGCCGCTGGTGGAGGCAGGATGTCCAGCAGTTGTGCAGTGATGGTGGGGATGATGGTACGCTGGTATTGGGGCAGTTGGTCCCTGGTCAGCTGTAGGAATCCAACATATAGGCGTAGTAGTTCATTCCAAAATTCTTGGGC